TTGTTTTTGGCAATTTTGTCTAATTTTATAATTGATTTAGAATATACCCTAAGGTATTCTCCTTTATAAAATAGCATACATTCTTGGGGCCTCTAAATTATCACATGTGAAAAATATGGTGCATTTAGAATTAAACTTTGCCTCTTGATTTAAAATGCACCAGCAGGGCTTCCCTGGTGGCGCAGTGGTTGAGAGTCCGCCTGCCGATGCAGGGGACGCGGATTCGTGACCCGGTCCTGGAAGATCCCACATGCCGCGGAGCGGCTAGGCCTGTGAGCTATGGCCGCTGAGCCTGCGCGTCCGGAGCCTGTGTTCCACAATGGGAGAGGCCACAACAGTGAGAGGCCTGCGTAACGCAAAAAAAAAAAAAAAAAAAAAAAGCACCAGGATCTTTAGAGATTTTTTTGTGCTCAAAGTGTTGAGGCTAAATTCATGGAGTTTACCTTAACAAGCTACTCTATCTGAACTGTAATCTGTCTGAGGAACCAGCCAGCAGCCCAAGCTGGCTGATGGGGAAATTCAGTTTAATGGAGTAGAGTAGTGTCAAAAAATGTTTATAATGGAAAAGAATGTATTCATCCTATAGAGGGTCTTGAAAGCCAGACTCTGTGGTAAGCAATAGGGTGCATTTTTGGATTACTGAGGAAAACGAGGTCTTAGATTATTCTGTTAACTGTTTTCAAGGTAGATTTAAAAGGGGATAGAATGGTGCTCTAAGAGTACCAAGGTGCTGTTGCAGTATGGCAGTTATGGGGGCCAGTGGTGACAACATGTAGTAGCAGGTGGCCAAACTAAGTGTCAGATGCTTTGGATTCTTGTTTTGGCACTATTACTTGATAACCATGATAATCTTTATGAGTTGCAGCTTTCTAATCTGTAAAATAGGAATATTTTTGCCTCTGCCTGCTTCACGTGGCTAGGATGATTATGTTAATGGAAATAGAGATGAAAAACGAACCTAAACACTGCAGAGAGAATAATATGGTGGTACATGGTGACGGTTATCAATAAGGAATTAAAGTAGAAAATATTTGAAGATAACTCATAGACTAGTAGATTGGAAGACTGAAAGGGGGTAGTTGGAAAAATGATTTGAACATCACAACTAAAGAGGTAACACTTGAAGGCAAGTTGAAGATATGGAGATGGAATGTCAATAATGCTGTTAATGTATCTATTTATAGAGCTTTGTCTTGTATTTTCTTAACTTCCAAATAGTTTGAAATGATAGTATGAAGGCCATATACTTCCTTTCACAGATAATAAATTGTGGCACCCAGTATTTACTTGTTTAATTCTGAAAATGATTGAAAGACTAGCTCTCATAGACAAAAATGTTGCCTTATAATGACTTCTTTGATTCATTGTATTTTTATAAAATCTCAGTTCTCATTGATCATTAAAAATATCACTGTCATCTTAGGTTGCAGACCATCTATTAACTGATACCAGAATGATCTTTCAAAAATATGTTTGTACATGTCGCTTCTTTATTGCTTCATGAACCTTTCCTGGACAGTTCAGTACAAGATGTCAGATACTTTTGGAATTAATGCCACACAGACAAAGACAATAAAATGTCTTTTCCTCTTAACTCCAGACTAATTTTTACTGAGATTTCCTGGGGAATCTCATTTAAATATCAGAATGTGAATGTGCCTCCTAATAGTCATCAATGTTAGGAAATTCTGAGATGACTATTTCCTGAAAAATTCATTTAAGGAAGCTTGTTTTCCTTCCAATGTAAACATCCTCATAACATATATGGACAGTAACAGTCAGTATAATGCTATTGAGAAGCTTGAGGGTATAGACTCTGAATTTGGACTACTTGTGATCAAATTCTGATTTTACCACTTAGTGTCTTAGAATATTTATTTGTAAACTAGAAGATAGCATTCATACCAATCTCAGAAGATTTTTGTAAAGGTTAAATGAGAATATAAATAAAGTGTTTTAGTCCTTAAAATTTTTTAAGTTAAATGAGAATATAAATTGTTCAGAAAATAGTGTTTAAAACTTAAAAATTATTTTTTTAAAAGTCTTAAGAATACAAAATCAGACTTTCTCTTTCTCTCTTTTTTTCATTTTGTCTTAATCCCCATTGAGAATGATGTGTAAACTCTATAAGTGATATTTTTGTCTGTTCACTTCACTTCTGAATCCATAGTACCTAGAACAGTGCCTTGACACAGGGTAAATATTTAATTGCTAAGTGAAGGAAGGAAGGAAGGAAGGGAGGAAGCTGCTTTACTTTTTACACTTGCTAGCTCAGGATTAGAAAATTTACCTTGAACATTCATATTTATCATGTATTTTTTTTAAATTGGAGAGTCAAACTTTATTGTTATATTAATTTCCATTTTTGATATATATGTGTTTGTTTACATTTTATCTAAAGCATGGACTGATTTAACTTTTAATTTTTAATTAAAGCAATCTGGTATTCATATCCAAAGTATTTCCATCTAATTCTTAAAACCTAGAGTGAATTGCAGTAATTGCTTGTGAATTGCTTTTTATATAACTTTTGAACAGTAACGAAAACATGAAAATATAAACTCATCAAATTCTTATGTCTTCCATGAGTGTTTTCCTTCGATGTAGTCACATTGCTCAAAAATAATTCCAGTGACTTTTCTTTTAAAAATCCCTTTTAGGCAAGTTTACTAACTAGAAAAGAAATTAGTAAATTCTAATTTACTAATTAGAAAAGAAAGTTTACTAATTAGAAAAGCCTTATTACTTTATACTGATAGAACAGTGTCATTTGATATACCTTTTCTTGCCCTTCTCTGCTTTTCTATTCCCTTTACCTGTCCACTCCTCTTTTCCTTTCTGTGTTTTACCTCAGACCTGACCTTCCTCCTCTTAGGAGGCTAAGTGACCGTGTGTGCGCTTGTTCTTTCCTCTGAGTTGTCTACAACTCGTAAGTCCCTTAAGTGGCTGCAATTGAGTGAAGTACTGAGACGTTGAATAGCCATACTGTAAGTTGGAGAATCTCTATTCTTCTGTATCAATAGAAATATGACCTACAGAGATAGTTATACAAACAAAATCAAAGGCCTCTATAATGGTGCACTTTTGTTCTTGGTCTCAATTTATGTAAGGTCAATACAGACAGTTTCCAATTAATAATTTTAATTTTTAACTAAAAAAATTGTTTTGTTCACCCAGTCAGCATTTTTGAGGCTGTATTAGGGGCTTTGTTCTTTAGGGAGGGGTAATGGAAATTGAATAAGTAGTCACAGCCCCTGTTCTCAAACAATCCACATTACAATGTAGGGTTCAGCAAAATAGAAGAATACACAAAGAGGTAACGGAGCATCAGGGAAAATCTGCTTGGCTCTGTCTGTGGCGTAGTCGTTCTGGTGCTATCAGGGAGAATGTTGTGGAATAAGTTATGTTTGGATTTCAGGATGTATTTCCTAGATGGGAGAAAAAAAGATCTAAAGCACGAGGATATTTGGAGGAGAACCTGTGCTGTCATTACCCATGATTGCCCAGATATGTAGAATATTTACAAGGTGGGACATGTTTTTTCTTCAAAAAACAGGGAAAAATACCTTATTGGTATTTTAGCCAATAATTATTCAAGGAACATATTCAATTTGTTGAAAGAAGAGTTGTACAGGGAAATTCAAGAAGTTGATGAAAAAATTGCTTTCAGGTTCCTGTTCAAGTGGTCAAATGTGCCATTCAAACATGGACTTGGATTGCTCTTGTACCAAACCTCACTGATTGGCCAAATATGGGTAGATATTCACTGGAAAAAATACAGCGAGTTCTATTGCTTTAATGTTTTAAAATGCTCAAACAAAATATAATGATTCTTCTAGTGAATATTTTTCCACTAATTTGTTTTCATACATATCTGATGGTAATCAATAGTGATTCTGTAAAGGAGAACTCAATTTTAGTTTTATGCTAATGACTTTCTGCCTGTATCTAATTCCTTATCCATTTGGGGGACAAGATTCTAGAATAGATAATAGATTTTGTCATTGTTTTGGCATGTACATGATTTCTTAACCTTCTGCTAATAGCATACTACTACTATAATACTACTAATAGTGTAATAAATACTAAGTATCATAATAATTAATACAGGTGATGCTTGTATAAAGCATTAAGTGGACTCACTGGGAAGTTCAAAAGTTGATAGGACCAGTTGCATAACACTTAGAAAACACTGAAATTTCAGAGGATACCTTGAAGGACATTACTCCTTTTTACAATTTACTTTATATGTATATATAAAGTATACTATATAGAGAGAGTATATATATATACTTTATATATATATGTCTTTACATTATTCCTTTTTTTGTAAAATGTCTGACATTGATATTATTTTAATAATAACAAAAATAGAAAATGCTATGGTAATTTACAGAAAATGAAGACCAAAATCTACCATTTAAGTAAACTCTCAGTGTTTATTCCTTTCTAAAATTTTTAAAATCTGAAATTGTCTAAATTATTGTAATCATAGCTTCTGTATTTATACATGAATACACAGAGCATGTGTATTTTTTGTGTTTGTGTGTATATGTATGATGGAGTAGGGAGATATAGTAAGGTCTTCCTCCAATTTCTTTCTCACAGCAGTTCTAGTAATAAAAGTGGTTAAACACACCCAGGATCTTAGCTAGAAGTGCCTGTTGCAAGAAACCAGTACATTTCTTGGAAATCTCAGAATTTATTTTAAAACCTTGTGTGTTCATTGAATTAGGAAAATATTTAAATTCCATGCCTATCAAATTCATTCACTTTTCCCAGTGAACATTATAGTAATGTGATGGTGTACAAATATAGGTCACATGTAAATTGAAATTCGTTTTTACACATGGTTCTGCTGCTACACCCCACGCATTGTGGGAAAAAATACACTTGACAAACAATAAGAAATACAAAAGTCTATTCAAGTAGTCCTACAACTATAACCATAAAATAAAATGTGTATTTTTTCTCATCATCTAATTAACTTTTTTTTACAGAAATGTTTAAATGTTCAGTAAATCGGAGGAAAAAAACATGGATTTTTAGCAACTGAAGAGCAAATTAAGGTAATTATTAAATTATTGTTGGGAATCATGATTGTTAGTAATTTCAAAGTGTATTTAATATGTTTATATTCAAGTTAGTATCTGCTTTTATAAGTATCATATTGAAAATTTGACGTATTTAATGGGCTACTGAAATGAAATTTTACATATTTTTGGAAAATAGACATTTCTTGTGAACAAAAATGTAAATAATATACTTCAAAGTATTTGCTGTTGTGGGGAAGTGTACTCCAGCTATATGAAAAATAAATGAGCTACTAAAAATAAATAATTTCAGTAGCTTTCTACCTCTTTTAAAAGACACATCACTGTCTTACTCTCTTAACTAATATGGAATAACTATTCAGATTTTTAAGAAATTAGTACATGTATATGACACAGTTCATTAAAGCCATTTTTGCTTAATTCATTCGATTTGCTCTCAATTACATATCTGTGATAGTGAATGTCAGTATTAGGAAATAAAATGTATGCATTTTATAGACCAAGCTGTTTAACATAAAGCACGTCCTTTTCAAAAGTGTTTTTATTTATCACAAATATATATATAGAGTATAACCTAAGAAACTTCAAGGAGTATAACCTTAGGCCAGAACACATATTTGCATCTTCTTCAGCAATCATTTGAAGGCTAAACAGGCCTTTATATTAATCAATCAACAATAAATTGGAATTTCCTTTCTTCTTAAAGTTACTAAAGTTAACTTCCTTAAAGCAATTTTGTAATTTCTAGAATGTAAATTCTTATAAATATGCAGCTTAAAAGTAGAAATAACTTTTTTATTTTCTTTATATTGAAATCATGTTCATTTAATTTTGAATTGTAATATAATTTGTATGTACTATAAATCATTATAAACCTATTTTCAAAGATTCTGTATTTTCCTTTTTACTCTAAGAGTACTGACTTAAGAGTATAAAAACATTACACTCACCTTTGTAGATCCTAAAATTTCCCCTTGATGTCTCTTCTTTTAGATATTTTTGTTTTAATTTCTTTGTCACTGCTTTCTTCTGCACACATTCACAAATGCAAACAAATAATATTATCCCTCTTTTCTAGAATAGATATGATTGAATCTATTTGTATTTGCTAGCTATCTATATGTTGGCAGATAAAGTTTACAGACATTCTTTTACTGACTTGAATAAAATGGGTTTTTTGGTACTTAGTGAAAGAAATAAATTTAGGCTGATTGAATCATTTTTTAAAAAAAATTAAGCCAATCAAAACTTAGACATCTTGCTTTGGAGAAATTAAATGCTGGTGGGAAAGATATGAAGCTCTATAGAAATGACTGTATACATTTTAAAAGGGTCAGTGGCCAACTGCTAAGGAAACAAACGTGGGAGCAGCTCACTTTTGCTGGAGGCTCTTGAAACCTTCATGGAGGCTGTGAAATTCACTGAGGAGGTTGTTGAGACAGAGAAGGTGAGGTCATGCATTCCAGACGAACATAACAGCTTGTGAAAGAGCATATAGAGCAAGGGATGGCCACTGAAGGATTGATATTTACTTTGTTGCTGAAGGGTTACACACGTGGTAGAACAATGTTAAGATATGAGTCTGGAAAAGTAGATTTGGAGCAGCCCATGTAATATATCATGTTTGCCAGACGAATGCTTAATTTTCCATTAAGCTGTCTCTATGGAGTGCTCAAGGGTATCTGTAAGGTTGTGAGAAGAAATTTTCAGAACCTCTCCTGATGCTTGTTTTCATTAAGAAATATAAGAAAGAAAGGCCTTATAATATTTAATGTAATGACTACTACTGGCCCCACATATGACGTTTCTGGAAAATTGTAGGAATTTTTACAGTGTTAAATGATTGACAATGTTTGCTTCCTTGTTTTTTAATTGAAATATAATACATGTACTGTAAGTTCACCCTTTTAAAGTATACAATTCAGTGGTTTTTAGTATATTCACAAAGTTGTGTAATTGTCACCACTATCTAATCTAGAAATTTTTTTCATTCCTAAAAGAAACTTTGTACTCACGAGCAGTTACTCCTTATTCCTCCCTCACCCCATCCCCTGGCAGCCACTAATATACCTTCGGCTGCTATGAATTTACCATATAAATGGAATCATACAATATTTTTGTATCTGCCCTTTTCACTTAACGTAATGTTTTCAAGTTTCTCCCTTGTGTGAATCAGGACTTAATTTTTATGCATGGATAATAGCAATAATATCACATTTTGCTGATCCATTCATCAGTTGACAGACATTGGGTTTTTTTAATACTTCTTGGCTATTATGACTAATGCTACTATGAACATTTATATCCAAGTTTTTGTGTAGACATATGTATTCATTTCTCATAGGTATATACCTGGGGTGGAATTGCTGGGTCATATGGTAACTGCATGTTTTATCATTTGAGGAACTTCCAAATTGCTTTCCAAAGTGGCTGTACCATTTTACATGCCCACCAAAATGTTTGAGTGTTCTAATTTCATCATATTCTAGCCAAAAGTTATTGTCATTTTGAATTATAGCCATTCTGATGGATGTCAAGTGATATCTAATTGGATTTTGATAGCAGTATATGTATATTTTTTTCTTGTTTTTGTTTTTGCGGTACGCGGGCCTCTCACTGTTGTGGCTTCTCCCGTTGCGGAGCACAGGCTCCGGACGCGCAGGCTCAGCGACCATGGCTCACGGGCCCAGCCGCTCCGCGTCATGTGGGATCCTCCCGGACTGGGACACGAACCCACGTCCCCTGCATCGGCAGGCGGACTCTCAACCACTGCGCCACCAGGGAAGCCCTAGCAGTGTTTGTTTTTAAGAGTATTTTAGTGTACTGATGTTACATGAGTTTGGATAAGTGCATTAAATGTAATTATTGCCAAATTTAAACTAGACTGGTTCTCATATTTAAACAATACATGCATAAGTCAACAATAAAAAATGGTAGAGCTGGTGTTTTCTCTATTCCTATTAAGGGATATTTTCAGAGTTATTATATGATAAACATTGATAAGCTACTCAGATTTATTAAGGATAGCAAAAACAAAATAATCTCATACCATATGTGATTAAACTTGGTCTAAGGACATATTTGTCTTGCGGTATAAGTACACAGCATCATTAATATAGTATATATAGTACATATAGTACTATATGTACTATAGTACTGATGTACTATAGTACATCATTAATATAGTATATATAGTACACAGCATCATTAATAGCAAGATTTTTAATAACATCTGGAACGCAAGTGCACACCTCTCTGGGTTTTTCAGCAATGTTTGAAGTCATGCTCAATCTAATCATTTACAAATTTTCACTAAATTTATGATAAATGTTTAGAAGCCTTATTTGAGATTTCCTGGGGGGAAGGAATGAAATCATTGGAAAAAACCCTAGTTCTTCCTGCTGTGGTAAAAATGGTTGAAATCACACAAGATAAATTATATGGCAACAAATAAAATTGTATTACTTTATCACCAAATACTGTTGGAAGATGATATGAAAAACATTATTTTAACCAGGAAAAAAAAAGTGTTAGAACAAATTATGTAGTATGAGGGATTTGTTTTGCCTTTGGACAAAATATACGTTTTTCCAACATGCATTAATTTATGCTATTTGTTAGATTATTTTTTAAAATAGGTTTATTGATATATAATTATGTAATGTACAATTCTATTTTGATGCATAAAGTTGTGTGAGAACGTACCACCAAAATCAAGATATAGAATATATCCTTCACCCCCAGTTCTCTTGTGCCCCTTTGTAGTCATTCCCTCCACCACTATCAGCCCCGGGAAACTCTAGATTCTTCTTTAGAAACAAAATACAAAAAAAACAAAAACACCTGAGAGGAAGCAGACTAAAGAGGTCAGTTTTTTTTTTTTTTTTTTAATTTTTTTTTTTTAATTTTTTTGTGGTAAGCGGGCCTCTCACTGCTGTGGCCTCTCCCGTTGCGGAGCACAGGCTCCGGACGCTCAAGCTCAGCGGCCATGGCTCACGGGCCCAGATGCTCCGTGGCATGTGGGATCTTCCCAGACCGGGGCACGAACCCGTTTCCCCTGCATCGGCAGGTGGACTCTCAACCACTGCGCCACCAGGGAAACCCAAGAGGTCAGGTTTTGAAAACAGATTCTATATATGACCTTCAGGATGTTACTTATCCTCTCGCTCTTTCCATTTCTTTATTAGAAATATGGGATTAACAAAACCGTCTACCACATATCATTTAGGATAGAGCTAGGTATATTTAAGCATTTATAAACACTTAATGTTTTTAAAATAAACTATAATTTTTTGAACCTTTAAGGAAAGATATACTGGAGAAGATATATTCTCCACAGTAAATGACCTCTTAGTATGGATTCAACCACAAAGCATCAAAGCAAGTTTTCAAAATAGTAAAACCAATTCAGGAACATCATGCCCACACAAGTTTTGGTTAATGGCTCCATTCTTCCAATTCCTTAAGCACAAATGCTTGAAGTGCATCTTGAATTTTCTTTCACCTACATTGCACATTCATTAGCTACTGAGCACCTCTTCGGCTACTACCTTGGTCCAAATTGCAATCCCCTCTTGGCCGGAGAATTACAACATTCTCCTGTTTTTCTTGCTCCACTGTTTTCACTGTACAGCCCTGAGAGCCTCTTTCTACCTTCAACCTACCCTGCCCTCCAGACACCATTTCCGTTTGCTGAACACAAGAGGCCGCTCTACAAAGGAGCCTTAGCTCCTTCTACCAATCACACGCTCCCAAGTTACATCCATGGCTTATTTCCTAGGCTTCAAATATCCTCTTCTCATGGCAGCCTTCCTTGAACAACCTACTTAAAATTGAAACTGTCTGGGGGCACTCCCTGCCCTCCTCTCTTGCTTTATTTTTCTCCAGATCATATAATACCACATTACACACAATTCTGTTTATTGTCTCATCCCATTAGTTAATGGATTTTAACTATTTCCTCTTTACGGCATCCTTTTAATTTCTACTTTTCAGTGTCTTTTATATTGTACCAC